AGGGAATTTTCGAGACATGAATATTGAAGCGGAAAAATAAGGTTGTTTCTCTAGCGTTTTCTATTGTGTGAAAATTAAAGACAAAAAGTTCACAATAGACCCTCTCACTCTCTTTCAACGGATTCGCATAATAAAACAATCAGATGATGACCTTAGCAACTTGTTGAAATTAAGCATTCCAGGTCACGTGACTTTTGACAGGTCCGCCATATTAGCTGAGGGGCAAACAAAGCCTATAGATCAATTGTTTACAATGTTTTTTGAGTTTGTGCTTTGGAATTTTTGCATTTTTTGATTTGTTCAATAAATTTCAAGTTGTTTTCAGTTCTTGTGAATGAATGGAATGAATGAATGAATCTTTATTTACAGACATGCCACTTTACATTTCAATTCAACAATAGTAAACAAACAATTTATTAACAAAAATAATGCTTAAGAATCTAAATTGTTTAAAAAATAAAAAAGTTTGATACTAACAACCTTACAAATAAACTTTAGCAAAATAAATTTGTGGTAGAATGACTCCTCAAACGTTTTGACTGTTCTGATCAGTGCACAGATCTGGCGTGTAGCTTAGCTTACTGGCTTGTTCATTCTGGGCTTCTATCAATTATCGTAGTATATCCTAAATTTGTACTGGGGACCCAATCCGGATTGTTTGTATCCTAAAATTCTGCTGGACTACCTAAAAGGTATTAAAAGTTACCTATACTTGTAGAAACATAAACAACTTTTTTGATGTACCGAGATGAAGTGTTTTTGTATTTTAACAAGACAGTCATAAAACTTACCATTAACAAAATGTTTCGAACAAATTCGAGCATTTTTAACAACGTTACAGGAAAATCTCCCCTATTGAGGCATCTAATTCACATACTCCGTTGTTTTTTTGATAGCTCGTTTATGCGATCCCCTCGATCTTTAAATGCTGCTGGAATCCTATAAAACCTCACTTTATCCCTTGCAGCTCTATTGGAGCACCCAAAAACGCCACAAAACAAAGGCATCTTCACAAAATAATACTTCAAAAATTCTCGGTTTGCATTGAAAATAACATTAAATCAGGTTATGTTTGGCTTTTATTTGCCCCTCAGCTAAAATGGCGGATCGGTTATGACGTCAACCTGGAATGCCTAATACGAGCTAGCCCCTTCTTCTCTTCACAGAGGAAGGTATGCACAAGGGCACAAATTCAATGTTGTATGCGGAATTCGCTCCTATATAAGAACCAGTAGACTTTGGCAGCAGCAAATAAACAGTTATTGATGGTGGGTTCCTGCTACATAAGGTTGTGTGCAGCAAATCAAGAGATACATTTGAATTGGTGTGCCAGAATTACGTGGATTATGTTCAAATACACTTCGGGAGCAATGCTATAGTGGTTTTTAATTAGTATCCTGTTGGCATAAGTTACCAAATCAGCAGAACGATATCGACGATCTTTGCTATACTTATAGTCAAAGCTATTGTTTTCCAAAGTTATAGGGCAAAAACCTACATTTCCATGCTATTTTTGATAAAATAAGAAAGAACTTGAATTTTTGAACCACTATATCTCAGTAACTATTGATTCGAATACTTTTGGCCAGTGAAATTTAAAGGAAATTTGAAGTTCTTCAACTTCGTTGAGAAGTTATAAGCAAAAAACTGGAAAAGTCCGATAATTTCGAGGTTTTAGTTGCGGTTAACGCGGAAAATAATTCAGGTGCACAGTAGACATGTATCGTCTGTGGATGCAGGTGAAAGAGATGAGAATAAAATATGTTTATTCCATGGTTGGTTTGAATTGTGGTCGGCCGGAAGAAAGTTGAGAACTTTTCTGTATCTTTGAACCACTCTATCTCGGTTACTATTGCGTAAAATAATACGTTTGACTAGTGAAATTTGAAGGAAATTTAATGTTCTTCAAATTTATAAGGTGTATTCCGCTAAAACGAATGATTTAGAGAATATAAGCAAAAAACTGAAAAAGTCCAAAAATTTCGTGGTTTTTTGACTCCCCCCCCCCCCCCCCAGCTAGCACAGAGTCCTCGAGGTCGAAAACTCCGATTTTTCTCTACAGACTACCCACAAATGACATACCAGACAATATCAGTAACTTCGGAATACTTTCCAGCAGAAAGTACTTGCCTGCTGAACTGAAAGGCGACGTCGGTCGTCTCGCTGTGTCAGAGCTACCTCCCATAGAGTGCCAGTTTCGTTGTATCTTTTGTGTCTTATTGTCTGGAATAAAATTATGTACCTTATTTTCGAAGATTAGTCTCACCTATCTACGAGCCCGTTTATGTAAGAGTGTACTACTTTTCATAAATTTGGTATGAAGATAATTATGTATCTACCACGTAATTATTTTAAAAGAGTCTATATTTTTACGTCACTGAAACTAGATCACACCATTTTCTTTTCACTCAGGTTAATCACAAGATAGAAACAACATTGCGTGATTTTTCGGTTAAAGATTTGCATTGTCTAAGGTGGGTTCCTAACTGGTAACTAAATCCTCTCTAATTACGCGTATCGTCTCAAGGGGTGTTTTTCTATGCACTTTTGAGCACAGACAAGACAGAGAAAATCATCTTATTCAGCAAGGAACGTTACAAACCAGGTATAATAGAAACAATAGAAGGATATGTAAGAGGGTCCTTTTCAAAGGGACATCCAATTGGCTTCTCGATTTAGGGATGTGAGCGCTTAGATAGATAACGAAAATATTGTGTTACTGGCGCCCAAGAGAACTTAATATCATGCTTTTATAGGTATTAAATAGTAGTAAAATATAATTCAGAAATACATAGTTCTAGAAGAGCAGTAAAAGCATGTTTGAGCCCCACGAGACAAATCGACCGAGCGGCTCGCGTTACATTTATTTCTGTCGCCTAGAAAAAAAGGGCCATGAGTCCCTTTCCAAGACCTTTGCTCCCGCCTTGACACGAGACACTTTTACGTCGACATTAGGTCATATTATCCAAGCCCTTAACAGCTCCCGTTTTCTTTTATTTTTTGCTATAAATAATTAAATGTTGGTGGTAGCCACAGCAGCAAGCAGAAATTTCGATTGTCAAACGTTAAACAGCTTTTGTAGAGGAGATAAATGCGAGATGCACAATAGCACAGCAATAGTTTGAGAATAAATTAAGCTGGATGCACACTTGTGTACCTGTTATTCCACTTCGGTGCACTTTAAGACACTGAAAGGGGGTGGTTGTGGGGAGGGAAGTTGGTTCGGTCACGGCCTGATGGCATTCAGTTTGGAGTTAACGTTGATAAATTGGACGAAGTTGTAATTTGGCCTTTGGCTATTGTGAATTCCTATCGACTCTAGTTTTATTTTACTCGAATGCAGTAGTACTAATTAAGGGCGTGTATACAGAACAGGGAGTAGTAAGTAAATCGTGCAAGAGCGACGAACACTACAGTTCAGAATATTGTCCTCCGCAAGCTATTCCTATTCGGTGTAATTAATTTATGGCACCGACCAATTTGCATGCTCCGACTTAACCTCCTCGGACAACACGGCCAAATTTAATTTCTCCTCTACTGGCACGGCGGAATTTGCTTAACAAATAAAAGCTCTCTATCTCTAGCTACTGGGCTACGGAAACCTGCCCCCAAATATCTATTCCGGGGACCTTTTGTAAGCAGTAGGAAAATTTGAATTTGCTTTTGTTAAAAACTAAAATACATCGTAGGTTGACCCGAAAACTAACTCCACCGAAGTCTAATTAAATTGTCATCGCTAATCCGACGTTACGGGTCATACATCACGTGACCGCACGTCACGAGCCCACTTGGACGCCGTCATTAATTTAACCTAACTCCACTACCCTCTGGTTCAACGTTTACTTTCTTGTTTTGAGAAAACACATTTGTATATGGCTTATATATATGAATTAGCTATTTTCCAATTGTTTAACTATCGGTAAGTACATTATTAATTTCGACAACTATGAGAGTAGAGAACTATTTAATGGTAGAGCATTGATTGTATTTTATTTATCGAAGTTTGTTACAAATTTTCCTTTAACTGATATTATTTTTTTTAATTTTGAACATGCCGACGATGAATTTTATAAATTTCATTTAAATCAGAAAACGAAGTTCCGAAATAATTCTAACCAAAGGATGTTGACGTTAAATTGGTTTATTGGGTTGTCATTGATAAACCTCTAATTTATTCCACCCGAACGAGAACGAAAGGCAGGAAAATATGATATTTTTCGATTTCCGACATTCCAGAAGAATTTATGTTTATAATGAATGCTTATAAAATTGTCATACAGAAGGATTTCAAACATATTTAGTTTGAATCATTAACCGGAGTCCTATTAGAATAAAGAATAAAGTTCATTACAAGCTGTAATGATGTTAAGGAAATAAGAAATTACATTCATGCGGAGAAACCAGCGCCACTGTTGACAACCGGAGCGCGAATTCGGCAGTCCCATCGTCTGATTCAAATGAACATGCATTTACCTGATTCTTGAGTGAATGTTTTTGTATGTAAAACGCCTAGTTTGTGAGTCATTGAGTGAGGTTAAATTAGAGAATAGTTATATACAAGTTAAGCGAAATAAGCTATGCTATTAGTGACTAGCATTACCCGTCACGGCTTCGCCCGCGATTTTTCAACTTATTAGGCTGTGTAGGTATTATCTATGATATGTGTCTATGAAAAATGTTGTGTTTGACAGTGCTTTGGCTCTATGCTTTGTTTTCGATGACGACAAACCATCGATTACTTCTGGGGATGCCTATTAATATTACCCTACTCAGTTCAGGGAAAAATCGATTTTTTCGAAATATCTTCGGAGGTAGTCGGATTTTTTTAGATTTCAAAACAAGACGTTGTAGGCTTCAGAAGAGCGCAACTTTTTTCTAATTTAATCATCTTTGTATCTCCTCCGGTTTACGAGATCCCCGTAGAGTGCATTCTTATATGGGACACCCTGTATATAATAGAATCGTGAAGTTTTTCTATAAATTTCCTAGAATTATATTGTTTAAATATTGCACAAAATGGATGCACATTGCACAACTGAAATGAAAAATTTAATTTGCTTAATTCATGTTAAGACTTCTTTCTATACCACATTAGTAGTCCTTTGATCTGGTGCTAAAATAACCAAGCTTGATGGAGTACTCACTCGCGAGCAAGCAACGTAAAATTGGCCATGGGAAAATCAATTTTCCCGTAGATCAATTTCGGCTACTTTCAATGACTGCCCTTGAGATTTATTGATAGTCATAGCAAAACAAACTTTTATTGGAAATTGTCTTCTTTTAAACTCAAAAGGATAGTCTGACGGTATTAGTGGTAAGCGGGGTATAAAAACTGATTCTCCTCTGGCACATCCGGTTATTACTGTAGCCTCAATTATGTTTTTCTGAAGAGCCTCGTACCATTACACAACTTAGGAGGATTTAGATTCCGTAACAACATTATCGGTGTTCCAATTTTCAAAATAAGTTGATGTGCTGGAAAACCTGGAGGATTGAGGGTGTTGAGAATCTCTGATGGATAGTGAACAGCATTATCATCTTGTAACACTGAATCAACAGATTTGAACTCTATAGATTGACCATTGAAAGAATTTAACAATATATGATTGATTTCAGCTGCGGTGTCATTTTTAGGGGTAAATATGGGTCTTTCACACAGCCAGTCCATAGATTTTTTGGTAATATTTTGAATGTCAGAGTAGATATCGGCTATAAGGTCTTTTAATGAAGTGACTACCTTACCTAAACCTGTAGGTGTAGTAATCTTGCCTTCTGATTCAATGCAGTTTCCATCTCCAATTTTCAACAGTAATTCGGAAAATTTTTCTGCGGAAATATCGCCTTTTAGGTGTACTTGCATGTTTTTAGTAAGGGAGAGTTTAGTTGTTTTAGGCCAAAGATAGGAAGCTTTGATACATGCTTTGACCTCATTTGCGCGCGTTCCTCTGCGTACAACAGACAAAGTTTGACGAAAATCACTAGCCAAAAGCACCGTTACTCCTCCCATCAAATCGCTTGAATTTCCTTAGTCCTAGGTCCTTAAGTGAGTTATTGAGAGCTTCAAAACCATTTTTATGCGACATTGGACACTCATCCCAAATAATTAGCTTGCATTCTTGTAGAACTTTAGCCATATTACTTTGCTTCGAGATGTAACACATAGGGGTCTCTACATGATTGAGAATGAGAGGTAATTTAGAGGCTGCGTGCGCCGTCTTTCCTCCTTCTAACAGTATTGCCGCAATGCCTGAAGATGCAGCTGCCACAGCGATTCCTTCCAATCTTACTTTTGCCAAAAGACAGTTGATGAGGAAAGCTTTGCCGGTTCCACCTAGAGCATCTAAAAAAAAAATCCAGAATTCGATCGTACGCTATTAATGACCTCTTGGTAGACCATACGTTGCTCGTCCGTTAATGAAGCTTCGCCGACAGAAACAGTTTCTCGCAGCTTATCTAGGTTGTAATTAGTCTCTTCCATGTACTCACGATTTTGTACAATGTCCTCAGATCTATTTGGCTATGGTAAACCATATTCTTGTAAGTTTTTACCACCAAGGGATAGTACAGTATTTTCTATCATGACTAAGCATCTTTCATAGATCTCGTTCATTGCTGGTTGCACACCAAAATCCAAATGTCTACTCATCTGATATTTGACATCTTCAGCCAAACTATCTTTATATTTTTCCCAGAGGCCGATTGCATCAGCTAGATGACAAAAAATTAACATCATAATTGAAAAAAGCTCCCGTAATTTGAAAGGAGACCGACTCATATCCGCCTCGCCTAGAGTTGAATCCCATTGCTTATCATCTTCAAGCACTAAGCAGTCCAAGAGCTTTGCATGCACTTTGAAAAGTAGGGTGCAATATATTATCCACTGTTTTCAGATATGAATGAATATGTTGGTCCTCGCATATGATGTAGTAGAAGCCGAAGATAGAAACATTCAATGTTATTTGGATGGATAGTATATACTCTTCCTAATGCTGAATCTTTCTTCACTCCAAGCCAACCTTCTACATTCTCTTCACGCTTCCGCCGAATAAATCTTTTATTCTTTCATACGTAGTATGAAGGAACTTCAGCGTATAAGAGCGTTTTTGCAAAGTTCTCCACTTGGCATAATTCGAAAAATGCCAAAAGCGTTGTAGTAGGTGGTATAGTCAGTTTATCTGCAAGATTATTTTCAGTAAAGTATACTTGTTGTCCATTCTCAAGATGAACGTCAAGATGTGTGACAGTTGGATATCAAGTAAGTGAAAATAACACAATAGTTGGGGAGCTGGCGTCAAAAACATGCAAGAGTTTTCTCAAGGCGGATATTTTCAAAATAGGTCGTACTTTAGTGTTAGAATGCTAGTGTACAGTCAGCACTCACAGTTTCGGGACAGCTGGCCCTGGGACGCGGGCAAAGTTGTAATTTAAAGAAGCATCTAAACTGTTATCTCAAAGCTCAAAATTTATAGAAATTTTGCACATTATCTGTTTGAAGGTCACAGATAACGTATGTAAATCGTCAGACGTCTAGTTCGTTGCAAAAAGGGGGTCAGACGTCCTCAAAGTTTTTATTTTATGGCATTTTCTTCAAATATATTTGTCAAATACCTGCAAAAATATATTTTGACAGGACACCGAAGAAAATGCCATAAAATAAAAACTTTGAGGGCGTCTGACACCCTTTTCGCAGCGACCTAGACGTCTGACGATTTACACACGTTATCTGTGACCTTCAAACAGATAATGTGCAAAATTTCTACTAATTTTGAGATTTGGAAAAACAGTTACATACATCTTAAAATAACAACTTTGTGCGCGTCCCAACGCCAGCTGTCCCGGAACTGTGAGTGCTGACTGTACACTAGCCTTTTATGACTTAAGTACGACCTATTTTGAAAATATCAGCCTTGAGAAAACTCTTGCATGTTTTCGACGCCACCTCCTGGACTACAAGAAAATCAGTTCATTTTTGATTTTGTCGACTGGTACCTGTCACCTGTCACAGACTGTTTTTATAATATAGGCTGGTATTGGAGCGTTTTGATTTAACTGGGTAACAGTTAGACATGCAATGTTATGTATGTACGCTTGTTGGTTGTTGTGCCAATATCTTTGGTTGTGCCATGAAAGGATTTATGTATTTAAGTCGCTAGTTGGTTCTGCTATGAAAGGATTTTGCAAAAATTTAATTTTAAACAGCGAAGTTGTTACGTGTAGTGTAGACATGTTTCACATATTCGGCGAGCTAAAATCCGATTGAAGCCAAATTTCGTAAAACTGAAAAATTAGTTTTTAGATATTCATCTCAGAAGTATTTCAGAGAAAGAATGGCGTCGATATCTTATTTTATTATCAAGTTATGACAGCTTAAATTAATTTGTAACGAAATTTTTTGTGTAACCTTTTTTGCCCCTTCCACTTTGAATTTCAAAAAAAGCATGAATTTGTTTTTAGGTATCTATATAAAGAATATTTAAGTACAAAAACGAAGTTAGAAAATTAGAAGCCGAGAAAACTAAAAAAATGTGAATTTTTAAAAAAAACCCTTTAAAATTAAAATTTTTCAAAATCCTTTCTTAGCACACCTACAAATACGTAACAGAACATATCTTGAAAGTTTCATGTCTCTAACTTAAATAGTTTTGGCTGGGCGTTGATAATCAGTCAGGACAAGCTCTTTTATATAAACTAAGCGGCAGATGAAGTGGGACACCCGAAAAATTGCCTAATTTTGACTTGCTATAACTTCGACATTTCTTTGCCGATCTTGGATTATCAGACAGGGTTACAAAGCGCCCTCTTTGGTCTATGCGTCAGTGACGTCGTACATTTTTTTAAAAAATTTCTTCTCGTTATACAGGGTGTGAATGTAAGGCGGCGAAAAATTTCCATTTTCTGGCGAAGAATATGGGAAAGATGGAGGGTCCAATAAAGTTCTTTCTAGTGGTGACTCGATCACTAGGTCAACACCTCGAGACGTCTTTGCCATTTTTTCGATACATCGCGTTGCTATGGAAATATGGCCATTTTATCGTATTTCGTTTTTCTCTTGAAATTAGCGATTCTTTAATTGAACAATAACAGATTCCGTTTAAATTGCATCATAAAATGACGTATAGAAAATAGTCAACACCAGTGGCGTGCAAAAGGGGGTTTATGAAATTAAAATAAAAAAAATTGATTTTATCTGAAATTTTTAAGTTTTGTTGAGCTTTAAAATTTAACGCCCAAATGCACCATAAGAACTCAATTCAGATTAGTTGCTGGAACCAGGTTAGGACTTCTCTTTTATATGCAAATTTTCGAACTAAGCGAGAATAAACTCCCAAGTCCATACGGTGCATATGGGTGTAAAAGGTGTTATAAATAACTCTGATATGGTGTCATTTTGGTTCTTCTCTAGCCTGAATAACTGCGTGACACCGCCTTGGCACGCTCGAAATTATTCGGTTAATTAGCTCTATAGTAACTGACTCTCAGAGCTCCAGAATCATCTCCTCGAGATCGTCTAGAGCTTCTGGCTGACCTTCTCCCCGGAAAAGCTCTAGCTTCATTCAGCTCCAGACGTGCTCAATTGAATTCATGTCTGAGGATCTAGGAGGCAATTCGGTACGATTGAACTTTTGCTTTTGCAGATACCGGTTCACTTATAATGCTCGATGAGGCTAAGCATTATCGTCTATAAGAACAAAGTCCCCGCCATAATTTCGAGCATGTCGGAGAACTTGCGGAATCTGACATTTATCCAGGGACACTTGGCCGTTAACGTTGCCCCGAAATATCACGATACGACGAGTTCTGTTCTTCCGATGTGTTAGATACCGACCCAAACTGTCATTCCTCCACCGCCAAATACAACTTGGGGACGCATGTTTTCTTCTAAAAAACGTTCTCCCCATCTCCATCAGGTTAGCAATCGGCCGTCAGAATTGTAGAGGTTAAAACGGCATACATCAATCAATAAGGGGAAATATGTGGAAAACTCAACCCTTTGTCAGTATCTTTTTTGGCCCAAAACTTGCACTGAGGAACACAACAGTAGTGAATTGAGGTCATAATTGAATGTATCTGATATAATTTAGACTTAATAATTCACCCACATGCTTTAAAAACTCAAAAACACCTCGAAAATATTCACACAAATACAATGATAAACAATAGGATAACATATGACAATGTACTAGAAACTAGTTCCGTAATTTGCCGCCAGATAGAGTACCGCTTATCTTGAAATCCCAATACGGTGCTCTAAACATTAACCACCCCCAGATAGTTGCAGAGTCACGTATGTACACGTGATTATATTTAGTTCGTCTTTCTTTTGTAAAGCAGGATATTGCTATATACACCAGTCCGACAATCTGTATCAGTCTTTATATTTTATATTCACTCTGTGTCATTTAGATTTATGTGGATCATTTCACTCAGTTTACGCTTATATGTTTGTGTTTCCGAATCACCAACTCTTACTTCATCAAACTTAAAGCTGTGGCCAGTCTCAAAACGGTATTTTGATAATACTGTTTTGTCTTTATACAGATATTGCATCGTTTCACCTATGTAGCATTTCCACATTCATATGGGATTTTTTAGAACAAAGATCTCCTATTACCCTGTGGTACCTACCTTATCTTTGATATGTGTGAACAGAGAGTTTGTAGTTTTGAGGTTGTAGAAAGCTATTCAAACCTCAGATTTCTGAAAACTTTCCAATGTTTCGCGAAAGGCCATCAATGAAGGGAAATTTAAATTATTTGGTTTCTTTTTTCATAGGGATATAGATTTTGTTTCTAAATCTGTCTATGCTTCTGTTGAAGTTTAATGGATAATTATTATTTGATAGAATTTTCTTTGTTTTTTTTTTTTATATTTGCCCTGTGGAATTCTCAGGGTCACTCAAATCAAAAGCTCTATGTAGAAGCCCGCTTTTTATGCCCACTTTATTGGGATGTTGGTTGGTTGGATAGGTAATTGAGAATTCTACCTGAACTAGTGGGTTAGAATACCAATTTGTCACCAAGGTACCATTAGGTTTGTGGTGGATTTCCATATCCAGAAAGTATAGCTTATCATATGTCGCTATCTCCATGGTAAACTGGAGTGATTGGTGAAATTTGTTGAAAGTATCTATCTAGTATCAGGTTCAGTCCATTCTTGGGTACTGATAATACTGTATCATCACATGGAAATGGTAGTTTTTTTAAAACTTTTGTTATAAGGTGGTTCATTACCAAGTTAGCTAAGATTGGTACGGCTGGATTACCCATCGCGGATCCATCCTTTTGTAGCTAGATATTTTGTTCATAAGAGTAAAAACTGGTGTCAAAACAGTAACTAATCAAGTCGGTCAAGCTGTCTCTGGATATAACTGTATAGTTGGAAATGGATTTTAAATTATCCTTAATTATATTTAAGACTACTAGTTGCTTTGGTTTGTTAGTAAACAGGCTCACAACATCTAATGAGACCAGAACATTC